AATTAAGAAAATGTCCTACAGCCTTGCTTACAGCCTGGTTTTATGGAGGCATCTTCTCAATTGAGGTGCCCTGCACTCCCATTCTATTTAGCTGTGTCAAGTTGACATAAAACTAGCCAGCACAGGGAGGCTTGATCTGAATCTTGGTATATGAAATTTCTTGAAAGGCTGAGAATATAAGTCCTTGCAGAAGGGAAGAGTAGCTGAGTAACCTAGGCCAGGAAAGTGCCTGGTGTTAGTTTCTCCCTCTTCTGCTGTTTCTTTGCCTGGTCTTTAGCCCGTGCATCATTTGTGGGTCCTAGTGATCCTCATCTCCAATCCAGGGCTAATGTAATGTACAGGGGTTATGTTGAAAATTACGTGAGGTCCTGCAAAAACAGTTTAGGATCACAGAGTCCAAGAAATAATTAGTAAATGATGGTGGTTGTACAGTAATGATACTGTTACTGGAATTGGAACATGGTTTGACTAGAGACTTACCCTGCTTCTTTATGATTAGATATTATGGTGAAAGACAATAGAAGATGCTAGTGAGTGGCAAAGAATATGCTTGATAGATAGGCAGAGTTCCAGATGGGGGCATGTATACAAGTAAAAGGCAAGTAATAATGGGGCATTGTGGCAGAACCAGGACATTTCTATGGTAATATGCTAAGATGTATCACAAAGGGCTCTGGGAAAACTTGGGTCCATATTGGAAAATTGGCTCCGAACATGGTATTCTCAGCATCATTACATGTTCTAAATTAGCAGTGAGTGCTAATAGGACAGAAATAGGATTTTCAGTTTCTTTAGCCAAGTAGTTAAAAATACTGAGTGCTTGAAGAGTGTTGGAGGAATAATCGGTCTCAAGGTGTTCTCAGAGATCCTGTGCAAGTTGCTATGGCCTTTATTGTTTACAGGCTTAATGAGAATATTAAGGAAGGAACGTGTGGCCATTTGCATTTAGAGGAGGCACTTTCTAATTTATTTTTTGATTTGCTGAGAAATAAAAATTGCCTCCATCTGCATTGGCTCCACTGGCCCTTAAAATAACTTATGTATATTTGTTATGTTATATAACTTGTCACAACATTAGTCACCACTTCTTCCATAAGGCAACATGTAAACCATCATGGGTAAGCATGACTAGAGTTGATAATTATAGACCAGTTTGTCCCTAGCATTTTAGTCAGCTTCTGCTTTTCTTTTCTTTCTTTCTTTCTTTCTTTCTTTCTTTCTTTCTTTCTTTCTTTCTTTCTTTTTAGAGAGAGAGAGAGAGAGAGAGAGAGAGAGAGAGAGAGAGAGAGGGAGAGGGAGAGGGAGAGGGAGAGGGAGAGGGAGAGGAGAGAAATTATGATTTTAATCTTTGGCTCCATGCAATCGAACTCTGCTTGCTAGCTGAACTGAGTGAGATTCTTCATGGCTTATTACTTATTACTCATTAGAGTGAGGCAGATAGTGAGAGACAATGAGAGGTAGGAATACTTGTTTCTATAAATGGCCTTTTTCTTTGAAACATGTCTTTCATTACAAAAATACCATTGAAAGGTTATTGAGATGTACACTGTTCATTTTATGTACATTTTAGTTGTATATACTAAATTATTGGGAGAATTCCATTTAACTAGATCAGTGGTTCCAAAATGTGGGCACATGTCAAGTAGAACCTCTGTGAGCTGATTGTTAGGAAGACAAATCTGGGGTTCTACCTCAGAGACTCTGGCAGGGACAGAAATCTGTCTTTTAATTAGTCCTCAGTTGTAATCCATACTAACAGTTGAAACACATGGAACTGTCCTTTACTGTATTCTTTTAGACTTCTAGAAGACTAGTCTCCATTTCCTTTGCCCCTTACTAATATTTATTTGGTTAGGTGTGGGAGAAACATTACTTGACATGAGAGACAAAAATCCCTATTCTTCAACAGCTTATGTATGGAAGAGGAAAGCTAACCATGTCCAGTATTGGGACTGGTATAATGTGGAGAATTAAATTAGATGCTGCAGAGTGTGATGGAGTTGGTCTTCTGAGGCCAAGTACAAGCAGAGATTTGGGTGACAGGAAGAACCACTATGTAAAGTTCTGTGTGAAGGGCCCTAACATAGATGTGAGTTCATGTGTCTGAGAAGCAGAAAGAAGGTCAGTGTACCTGGGTCCAGTGAGCTGAGAGAAAGAGAGATCTGAAGTGAAGTTGCATAGGTAGGAAGAGGGAGACTAGCCAGGTCATGTAGGTTCTTGCCCCTCTTTCATTTTAATTCCATTTTAAAAAATTATGGCATGAATCTTCTAAAAAAACTTCCTATTTTAACCATTTTCAAGTACTCAGTTCAATGGCATTAGATACATCTGTATTCTGCAACTATCTAGCACTAGAACTTGGAGTTTGACTTTGAGTATGTGGGATGCTTTGGAGAAGTACATGGAGGGTTGACCCAGTCTGAACTTTACAATGAATGGACTCCTGAATGCAAAATTGAGGTGTAAACACTTGGAGTGAAGCAGGGAGCCCATCAGGAGAGTAATGCATTAACTGAAGGTACCAAGAAGTGCATGGCTGGATTTTAATTTAATTTTATTTAATTTTGTGTGTACTGGGAGCAAAAAAACTTGGGCATGGTACCACTGAGTTAAATGTTAAATTCCCAACTCCTCTCTCTTCTGTATACATTCTGATAGGGGAATCAGAGCTTCCTGACTGGTTGGTAGTGACAAATAAAGAGTTCAGAAACAGTAAGTTTTGTTGGTTTGAGTAACTGTTAGAGTTTAGGAGGTGCAAGTTTGGGAAATAAAAATGAATGTTAGATTAAAATGTGTTTGAGATGTTTAAACATAAGTGTTGGGTAGGCTTAAAAATCTGGAATCAGGGGAGAAGACAGGTTCAAGATAGGATGCAGGGGCTTGCCAGTATTTGCTCAGTAATTAAAGCTACGAGACTGAATGAGGTCTTCTAGGTGATGAGTGTAGACAGCAGAATCTTGACTAGGTTCAAGAGCAGGAGCTCTTACTTCCGTGAGAGTTAAGCAAAGAAGCACCGGTGATAAAGGCAGAGATCCAGCAGAGTGATTTTCTAGAAGGGAAAGAAAGAGTATGTTTGAAGGGGCAGGACAAATTGATGAACTGTTCTAAAAGCTGCTATGAGGATAAGGCAAGCACTGAGAACTGTGCCTTTGTAGGTCTTTGACCATGGCAAGTTGTGATGATGGGGTGGTTTCATGATGACTGCTTGAAGTAGGTTTCAGGAAGAAAGGAGGACCGGAAGCAACAAGAATAGCCACTTAGGACATCCTTTTCCTTAGAGTGAGCCTTTACAAAATGCTCTGTGACACAGTTAAGGCATGGGTGTGTTACTGTTTTAGAATTTGAATGTAATACTTTCACATGCTCATGTTCATTATTTCAGTTTTAAGAGCATATAAAAAAAGATGAAGAAATTGGAATTGAGTAAAAAAATGTGTGGGAGCTCTGAAGAGCCTCCACAGGGACCTAGGGTTGTGTAGAGTATAATTTATTTTATTTTTTGAGACAGGGTCTCTCTATATAGTCCTGGACCTGTAACTCTCGGTGTAGGCTTCCCTGGAATCCACTATGTAGACCAAGCTTCACTTGAACTTACAGATAGCTGCCTGATTAAAGAGGTGTGCCAGTACTCCCAGCTATGTGTAGAACACATTTTGAAATCAGTTTTACTCCATAGAAGCATCATTCTGAAATGAAATCTATCCATTTGCCAAAGAAAGGCATTTTTAGGTTTTTGGAGAAAATCTTCCTACTGCTCTTCACATTATAGCATCTATTATTTGTGAACTAGTAGTGCTCCTTTCGTCAGATGCTCTACCTTGAGGTATCTCATTGGAAGGGATAGTTCCACATGCTATTTCCCTCACATTTGGTGCCAACTTTGAAGGTCATGTTCTACCCTCTTGGTAGAAAAAAAAGAATGCAAGTTTTTTTTTTTCATAATTTTAAGCCCTTAAAACTTAAGTTTACTTTTTTTCTTTTAAAGTAAGTTACTCTGATTTAGTCTCTTATTTCTCAATAACTATGTTTAACTAAGTATATTTAAATATCTTGAATTTTAGAATAGTCAACTCTCTTTCTACTTAAGGCACTTATTTAAAATTAAAGCTTGAGTTTCTCTACAGCAGAAAACTGAGCTTTCACAAATTATAAAGCATTTTCTTTCTACTGTTAAGGAATTAGAGCAAATATTACCTTATTTTCCCAACTCTTAAGATGCTGGTATTTATAAGATGAATGTTATTTTATTTGTTAATAAGTTGCTGCCACTTACAATCTCAAAACTCAGTGGGATTAAGATGTGTAAGTATGGAGATCAAAGGTCATCATCTAGTCAGTGAAATGTGGAATTGGAGAAAGAATGGCATGAATTCTGGGATTGCCTATGTTTCCAGTCAGCTAAAGGAGGCAGACAAGTTCTTCAGACTGTCTTTCCTCGTGTCCCTCACTTGCTCAGTGAGAGTAACGCTTCCACACTTTACAGTGCCACAGTAAGGATCACATGACATAAATGACATTTGGAGATATAGATTTTCCTGGGAACATTCAAAGTATTTTTTTTATTTAAATTTAGGCCCCTAGATATTATTAAACAACCCAGGAAGGTCCTTATTTAAGCTTTGTTGTCAGGTTTAAAATATAACTTAGTTAGATATTTGAAAGTATAATATTATTTGCTAAATGAATTATTTTTTCTTTTTGGATACAAGGTCTCTGTAGCTCTAGCTGGCTTGGAACTTTCTGTGTAGATCAGGTTGGCTTCAAACTCACAGAGTTCCATCTGCCTCTGTCTTCCAAATGCTGGGATTAAAGGCATGCACCACTGTGCCCAGCTTGCTAAATGATTTTTATCCAGTCTTGAAGTACTTTTCATTATGGCAGAAAAGATAATATAACCACATGTTTTTATGACTCAGAAGTAACAACTATAAACATTCTCTTAGTATGGTGATCTTTCATGAATTTATTATGAATGCTCATGACATTAAAAAGGTAAAGGAATGTAATATATATGATATTGCTAGTGTAGACAAACACTGTTTTAAATGTAGGTTAGATTTCCATGTTCACAATATTCTATTGAGGTGATTGTTTCTCTTGTTTGCTATTAAAAAGCTGTAAATAACGAGTCATTTTTGTCATGTGTGTGCTTTATCTAGTAGTGGAACAGAGTGTGCTACTTTATGCTCTTGGTGCTTTGAGCTGAAATTTCCTCAGAAATCCTGCCTGCAGCTTTGGAGATGCAGCTGTGGAAGTCAGAAACATGACACATGTCAAGTGATAGTCATGGTTAACTTACTATGTCCAGGTCAATTTTGTGTATTTTCTTTAAGTTGCACAGTTCTTGGGGATTGGTGTTTTTATCTTGTATGCTGTGATGGTTATGGCCCAGGAGTTAAATATCCTGCCCAAACTTTCATAGCTAGTTAGTCTGGACTGTAATTGAGGCCTGCTTTACTGCATGTCATGTCTTTTGCATAATGCTGCCTCAATCCTCATCAGTAATCATGATTTGTTTCTTTTGTAGGCAGAACCCAGAGACTACATTTGAAGTGTATGTGGAAGTGGCCTATCCTAGGACAGGTGGCACTCTTTCAGGTACTAACTTACCTAATTATGATAACAATATCGCTTTATTGTATGGAATAGTGCACACAGAACAAAACAGATAAAACAAAACAGATAATGTGATGTCTTCAAGTTCTTTTAAGTGCCTTTCCTCATATTTCATCCCCACACCATCTTAGGAAGACTAGAGAACAAAGGTATAGTGAATCTTTGATTGGAATACACTGTCTTAGCAGGCTGGATGTATGGTCTTATTTATTTTTGTCATTGGGTATTGATTTGCATATCATAGATGCTTGGAAGTCAACTATTTAGTTCTTGCTAATGGGTAAGCCTTGGAATTAGACTATAGGATTCAAATTAGTAGAAAGAGAATTATTTGCTTCTAAAATGCTTGAAATAGCAGTCTAGCAAAACTGTTGATAAAGAAAGTTGGAGACTAGTTAGAGGAAACTCCTCCTCTCTCCTTATCTTTTAGTTGGATTTCATAAGTATCTTGAACATTGGAATCTTATCTGAGGTTATAGGATGTCTTGTACAAGCTGTGTATATTTCTTCTTCTTCTAATTTTTTTTTTTTTTTTTTTTTGAGACAGTGTTTCTTTGTGTAGTCCTGGAACTTGCTCTGTAGACCAGGATGGCCTCAAACTCAAAGATCCACCTGCGTTTGCTTCCTGAGTGCTGGGATTAAAGTTGTGCGCCACCATCTCCTGGCTTGTGTAGATCACTTTTTGACCTAAAATACTATTTGCTTAATGAAAAAGTAGCCTTGTGCCCTCTTTCTTGGTGCTTTTGCCAAATGTTAACTCTTTGTCCTCATACCCAAACATTTGCATATATTATTTGGTGTTCAGGGAGAGTGAATTTACTTGGATTAGAAACTTGAAGTAATAAGTTATCATGTCCTTAACTGGCTTTATGTCTTTGGTACTGTTTTTTATTACCTTATTTTCATTTGATTATTATAATTATATACAGAGCGACTTTTGATCAGATGACCTTTATTCTGTTAGCATATGATATCAGCTGAGCATCTATATTGTCAACAATTATAATGTAATCTTTAAAGACAATTGAATGGCATCCTCAGAATACCAATGAAAAACTAGAATCTTAGCTGTAAAGTAGTTTACCAAGGCCATGTATCTACTGTGTGGGATAACTAGGATTCTTGTTTCAATTCCACTTCATACTGCTAAGCTGTTTTCTTGAGGGCAGGCAGTACGTATTGCATGCATCTCTCCATGTTACCTGCAGGGCTTTGCACAGTATTTGTTAAAATGAAGGCCCGCCTCCCATGTGCAGTAGATTGCAAATTTATGGTTGTTCTGAAAGTAGAAAGTGAAGGTCCATGTTAAGCCTTGTCTCTTATTGTTCAGGGAGAGTACTGGACTTGGGAGCAAGTAATCAGATGTGCATGCATCCATTTCTCCGTTTGTAGACTTCATTCAGTACCCATTTGATGATATCTGTGATCTGACAGATAAATTCAAGGATGAACATTTTATTATTTCTATAGTTACCTAATTTTCCCTCTTTAGTGTTCTGGCATGTATCACTATCATGTTACATTTACTTTGTCACTACATACACAATTTTTTTTTTTTTTTGCAAGATGTGGCTCTGTACTCCTAAATATTTCAAGGGGAGCAATTATAAGGATAAGGACATTTTCTTTTATAATCCTAGCCCTGCTGTTGAAATAACACTGCTGCAATGTCAACTGTCATATTTAAATTGAATCAATTTTCTCAAGAATGTTCTGATTAAGAATCTAATACAGGGTCATAGAACCCAATAGTTTTTATGTCTATTTAGTTTCTTTAATTCACGAATAGTTTTGTAGCTACATTCTTCCCTTCTAATGACATATGTTAAAAAATCTAGGCCTTTTCTTTCATCTCTGGATTTGTATCTGTGTATTTGTGTCTTTGTGGTTATATCCAGGTTATGTGTGTGTGTGTGTGATTTGTTCCCTCCGTGTATCTTATCAGCAAGCATATGGTAGCTATCCCATTATTTGTATAAAAATGCATAAAACTTACAAGTGTGGGTTAACAAATAATATAGCACAAGTGACCACATGCCTGTTTTTCAGGTTAAGAATGTTGTGTGGTTTTATGCCAGTAATAGTCCTGGCAACAACGATCTCTGGCCCCATCCTATGCTATGCCTTAGGTGTTCCACATTGACCTTCTTTTCACAATGCCACTTTGCATGGGGCTAAAAGTTGCTGGGCCTATAAAGCATGATACCTGATGCTTGAATGCTCCCACTTTAAAATTGCTTACCCAAATGGCCTGGAGCTTATTTCCAGAGTCTGTATGAGTCTGTTTGATAGGCCTTGTCTTCCTGATGGTGGACTGTGCAGTTATACTCCAAGGCATTAGGGTGCTCCTACATCAGGGGTGGGATATGGGACAGTTAACAGGTGTATCTGGACTTGGGCTGGGATAACATCATGTTTGTATGAGGGGTTACTTCATGTTTGTATGAAAGTGCATTGTGGGATGTGGAAGGAGTAGTGGGCAGTCAGTGTTCTATCTACCACTACTTTTCTGCATCAAACTCTAAGCAGTCCAAAACATACACATTGAGCCTGACTTTCCAGTTAGTTTTAAAGGTGTATTTATCATGGTCTGAGGTAAAATATTAGTTGTAAACTTGATTTATAATTTTTTTAAATGGGTTTTATGTATCCAAGGCCGCCACAAATTCACTGTGTAGCTGAAGATGGCCTTGAACTCATATGATTCTCCTGCAGCTACCTCCCAATACTAGGATTATAGACATGCACTACCACACCCAGCTATCTGACTTTAAGACTTAAATTTTTAGATATATGGTCTGTAGAACTCCTTCCTTTGTACCTTTGCTAGGCCTGTAAATGTTAGAGATGGCTTGGTCATACCCCCAGAATCCCCTCCCTCCCTTTGTTTAGAGATGACCACTATCATTTTATGATAGTCATTCCTTTGTGTTCATTGTGTGTGTGTGTGTGTGTGTGTGTGTGTGTGTGTGTGCTGCTCTGAAAAAATAATTTTTTCTGTTTTTCAATTTTATTGAAAGAATTATTCTTTATGTAGTTTTGGTATGTTTTTGCTTAGTTATGTTTATAAGGGCCCTTCATGTTGTATGTCACTGCATTTACTTATTTTCATTATTGTTGTATTCATAGGATTATACTACAGCTTTGTTGTTGCAGCTGTGAATTCTAGTCCTGGGAATCAAATCTAGGGCAAGGCAAGCATTCCACTACTGAGCTCTTACATTCAGCCCTGTCCATTCTGTGACTGGCAGTAAAGTTGCAGTGTTGAAGTCACATGCCATTTTTGGCTAGTGCAAGTGCTGCCATGATTTTTCTTACACAGGCACCCTGTTTGGTGTAGATGCATGTTGCCATTGATTGTATTATGTATCTGATTCCTTTGTCATACTAAACTTTGTGAAAACAGTTGTGCTGCTCTGCATTCTCAACTGCAGAATTTGGTGGTCCCACTGTTATGTAACTTTATCAGTACTTGGCATTGTTTGATTTCATTTTCATCAACCAAGTGGCTGTTTTTATTTGCATTTTCCTGGTGACCAGTTAGATTGAACACCTTATTAGTATGGTGTCTTGAACCTTTTCATATATATGGTATTTATTCATTTCTTTTGTCCATTTCAAATATTTTTATTTGCAGGGATGGAGGGATGACTCATCCATTAAAGGCTAGGCTCACAACCAAAATATTTTTATTTGTGTGTGTACATGTGAATGTGTAGATGTGTGTATCAGTATACTCATCTGTGTGAGGAAGTAATAGGAGGACATTGGATGTCCTCTGGAGTATGCCATTTTGTAACCGTTCATTGTTGGCTCATAAAGTTTGCATTATGGATACTATCTGGTTATATGTGTTGGAAATGTCTTCCATTTTATGATTTGTTTTTCACTGTGTGGAATCTTTGATCCAAACTTCTCAGTCTAAAATAGTATAAAATCAATATTTTCCTGTCTTATCCATTAAAGATATTTCTTGAAGAGATTTTGATTTTGACTTTTATATTTAGGTATTTACCAAAGACTAGTAGTATTTTTTTAACTAGTTAATATCTGGAAACGTTAAATTCTAAATTGATTTTTTCATCCATGGTTTATACAAATTGGGAAAACAAAGCTGAATTACTAAGCTATACTTTACCTATAATTAAAACAGCTTATACAGTAATGAGGTATTTCAGATCCTCCTTAAAAGCAGCTAATAATAGGAAGGTGAGAATGGCTGGAGAGAAATATACCGCTCTGTAAAGACAGGTCTTTTTCTCATTGATTTGTCTTAATGTGTGAACATCAGTGAATACCTTTAATTGTCTTTTACATGTGCCGTGCTCTGAGAAAATGTAGAGGCATGTGATTGTCAGTACTGTATAGAAACTACATCAAGAACCTTAACACTCAGGGATACCTTCCTAAGTGTATACAGAGTTTGAACAGGACACATGCTTTTTGGTAATTTGTCAGATTTCCTTTTGCTGTTCCTAATGAGTGAACTGTAGCTGAATGTTTGGCTTCAGCCACCATTTTCTTCTTCTACAACCTTCTTGTTGAGTAGCACTTGGTGTATTTTCCTTTTTCTTTTTGTTACTATTTTAGACATTAATTTGGCTGTTTTAGATGATTGTAAAGAATCTACCTTTGTTCCTCGGATCTGCATCTCTGTGTTTCCGGGCAAACTTAGATATAAACCTTACATTGCACAGTGCAGTGTCTGGGGCTAATCTTCTCTTTGAAGTTTGTTTACACCCCTCTAGAGGGATTAAATCCCTGCTGTGAGAAGGTGGGCTAAAAAGTACTGAGACTACTTTATGGGTCTTTAATCGAAGGGTTTAATGTACATTTTGTTTTATAAATGTCTGTGAAAGTTCCATTCTTAAGATTTTTACTTCCATCCTGATAGATTCTTTTAAGTTAAAAATGTATATAGCAAAATTTATCTCAAGGCATTTAATATTTACTGGCAGATTATTCTGGTGTGTGTGTTGGCT